CTGATTTAGGAGCAGACGGGCGGGCATTTGACGAGTAGGCGACCATCTTGGAAATTATCGATTCAGATGCGAAACCGCTATTTCGTGACACAATACGAACTTTTAAGCTTAAGTTAAAAATAAAAATATCTCGGGAACCTAAGCATTTTAATAATAATAATACGTATTATTTATATAGCGCCGATATCCTTACAGTTCAAAGGCGCTTCACATGATCACGGATCGCTATTAGCAGCCACGAGGCTTACAATCATTTTTGGGAACATTCTCGATCGTTTATACTTTCACGATGAGAAATCACGATACAAAAAGCAACAAAAACACTCGAAAACTAGCGTAAAAAAACTGACTTATGGGGCGGGCATTTGACCACTCATTTGCTTTTACTAGTGAGCACTTGACTGTCAATTTTGCCCATATGGTGGGAAATTTGACCAATTTTTTTCCAAAAAGTCAAATGCCCGGGGGGGGGGGGGGGGGGGGGGGATGGGCACCTTTGGAATTGACTCATACATTACTAGCGTGACATTTTGCATTCCTGAGATGACACCGGTTTGGTCAGCTCATGGTACGAAAGAAAAAGTTTGAACTTCGGGACCGATTTATTTCTGTTCTGTTTTCGCTGTGATTTTGATATTTCAGGAGGGAATAAAGTGTTTATCTGAGGTTAATTTCCTAAAATTTCAAGAGCTTGGCGCGATTTTTTCGACCCGATTTTGAGGTTTAAGTGAGTCGAATTGGCGATTTTGGGGAGTTTGGCGGGCTGGAGTTGCCAGCCTTGTGGAGATTTACTTCACCGGGGCTTGCGATCATTTACTCATGAAAATCGCATCGCACGGCAAAAAGAACCACAAATCCACATTCAGAAAGCATTGAAGTATATTTCTGAACTAAAAAAAAACAGAATATAACCCCCCAAAATAACCAAAATATCGATGTTGAAAATGGCCTAATTTGAAGAGATTTCAACGGCTTTCGGCTTTCCGATTTGTCTTGAACAGAGTATGGATTTTTACTTTCTAGTGTCTTGAACAGGGTAAGGGTTTTACACCGCTGGCGCACGTACCTATCCAAAACGGGATATCAACAAAACAAATTCTTATAAAAACCTCAAGAAAACGTCTAGGAATTTAACCCAACTTCCAGACATAATATTTAAAAGAATACAAAAGTGGCTACTAGCGGTAAACTGCGTCGGTGTTTCTAAAGAAACAGTTGTGTAAAAAGATAAATTTTAACAACGCATTAAAGTAGGTGAAACAACCTTACCACTTGAATGAAACAGATTTCAAAGATAAAATGCGAAACGAACAATTACCACTCACCAAAGCGCTTGTACATGACGCGGACTTGTGTTTTCCCTTGTAAATGAATGTCACTAGTGAAATTAAATCACAGACAGCGTCTCTCCTTGCGGGCATACTTTGAACCATGTTTTTGCTGGAGACCTGGTGTCGGGGTACTTTCTGTAAATAAAGGTGACCGGTACTGTATGCTCTTGCAGTCGTTTGAGGTTGTTGGGACGTAAAGCTGTTGATTTGCTTTGTCTCATTTACCATGGAGTTGGCTTGAACATTGTTTTCAAATCGAGGATTTTGTTCACTTTCCCTTGGCCAAGGAACTGATGTTTCTTTTTTGGTATCAGGTCTAGCTTTCTTTCTCATCTTGTCTTCTCCGTTTGGCTCTAGACCACGTGCTCCAACTGTGATTTCGTTTCCCTTATTTTCCATGGCTTGAACATTTATTGATCTTTGGATATCTAGTTCTATACCTGCTCCATGGGTGCAATATTCTTTTTCAGTATGCGCTTTCTTAGACTTTTTTGCCATTTTCTTTGCTTTTTTGTTCATTTTCATTTCTTTTTTGATCTTGTCCCTCTCTAGCTCAAGATGCAGAGGAGGAAGACGGACCGAAAGAATTGATTAATCCTCTTTATTTCAGGCTTCGTGTCAATCGTTGCTATCTTGATCTTTGTGTTCGCTCTGTTCGATCCACATCCAGGTTGTCCGTCGTTGATTTCATTTCTCTTATGTGACATGAAGTTGGCCTGAACATTTCCTGCTCTTTCAAGACTCGGTTGTATATTTTTACCTGGTACAG